ATGCAAGTCCCGTCAACCGACGGTCCACACGAAGCAAAGTGATCACCTGGCGCCTGCCCGCTGTATGAAGTAAACCGACGCTACCTCATCCCGGTTCTCTGAAGTCCAGTTTGGCTCACTCCAGTAATCTCTGCGCAGTGATGAAAGGTATGCCACAAGCGCTGCCTCATCACTCTACGTACTAATATTCTTTCTCATTTCAGGTTCAATTCACTCTTCACCACAGGTCTATCGCCTGTCCTGCTTTTGGGCTATCCCAAAAAAGGTATACTCCTCTAATTGCATGCCACGTTCACTATTCCGATAATGAAAGTTTCATGCAATTAGCCGACTTGCTTTAATAAGCACCTTCTGTGTCTATTAGAACGTATTATTCAATTATCTCGTTTAATATTCCAAAATATCTCATGGTCCCCATCTCAACCTAACCCCTAAATTGTGGAATTGAATCACTCTCGCTTTCAATCTCCATCAATTTAGTGGCATGCTTTAATGCAAATCTTCTATTTGCATTAGAACGTCCTTTTCTTTCCCCCTTTCGGTCGATCATTTATTTTAGTCACCTTTTCACCTCTCCTCTCTTTTCTGGTTTGCTTCTTTTTCCTCAAAATAAGCTGGTCCCTCGGTTTAAATTTATCTCCCCCCTCTTTTCTGTTTCGCTCCTTTCTCATATCCAAATTTTTCTCCTCCTCTTCTTTTTTTCTAAGTTTTTCCCCTTTATATCGCTCAATTTGAAAAATTAAGCCACAGAGGAAATAATCAATTTTTAAAAAACCCCAAACAACGTTGTTACAAAATCCTAACGCTACGCCATAGAGGGTTAAATGCTATGAATATGAAAGGCTGATAAGTGACTATATGAAACAACAATTTTATCTGTTAGCTGATTAGTATAACCAAGGAAATGAAGGAGCGTGCTATTTCAATTATTAGACCTCAGAAGGGTGGGATGAGGTGGAGACTTTAACGAAAGGTTAAGAAAGTAAAGAAAGTATGAACGACTGTGATACAATTTTTTAAACTCTCCTATTGACCAAATAGCATATCCGACGAAATGAAGGGGCGCACTATTTCATACATTGGACCTCACAAGAGTGGGAAGGGGCGGGGACTTCAACGAAAGGTTAAGAAAGTAAAGAAAGTATGAACGACTGTGATACAATTGTATCGACTTTCCTGTTGGCCAATTGGCATAACCGACTAAATGAAGAAGCATGACTTTAACGAAAGGCTAGAATAGTAAAGCCTACATTGAACGGTGAGCGGCCAATGCGATCAATTCAGTGATGAGAATATCCTTCGAATCATACAGAATGGATGATTTTTTGTTCGTTTAATTGTAAGTGTTCCTCTACATTAGATTTTGAAAATATGTATAGCCAGTCGAGTAGGGCGGCTATTGAAAGGTAATGCAAGGATGAAAGCAAAGTATATATTGGAACGTTCCATCTTAAGGAGCGCAAGAAACCAATGCCAAGTGTTCACGGATAGTTCGTCTATGTACGTGCCTTGGTGTACAACACCAATTCGGCTTATAGCCGTGTCAAAATCATCCATGATCCAACTCTTATTTATTCAGTGCTAATTTTGCACAAATGCGGTTTTAAAAACTTCCAACGACAGCCGTAATAATCTCAGAACTTTCACCCTTGTGAAATAAACAGCCCTGAGACTTGAATCGAACCTTGATTAAACCCTGATCTGTCTCCAAAAAGAGGGTCAATCAAATACTAACCTCGAATCAATTTACCTTGGAGTGTATCGTGGTGACTTAGAAGTAGAAAACGATATTAAAATATGAAAAGATAAGTTCCAATTTTTACCTTTTCTAGATGTGACTTGAGCAGCTGATAAAGAAGCCGTAAGTCCTAAGAATTTCTCATATTTTCCAACACGTCATCCGTAATTTTGATTATCTGTGAACAGAAATTGAAATTGAAATTACAAGTCACTACATAAAAACAGAGAGCCTCCTATTATTCATTTTACGGGTGGTTCTAAAATAGTTTGCACATTGCGATCCTTGAAATATTACCATGACAATCAGAAAATTATCATTACGTCCAAAACCTAAGACCAGAAGGAAATTTGCATGTTTGCCCATGCTCACAAAAACAGCGTTTATCATGAAATCCGCAAACATTGCATGGAAATGAGTCTCATTATTCAATGGCGGGAAGTTCAGAGCAGCATGAAATACTGATAAGAATAAGGTCTTTTCTTCATTAATTTGACGTTTTGATCGAGTTAGATCGAATCTCACTCGAATCCGATCTCATAAATCATGAGCTGTCGCGCGGCAACTGGCGGTCACCGGGAGTGCAATTAGTGAGTCAGGTTGACGCTGACTGTCACCGTGACTTTTAGGATGAAATTAAAAGTACAGGCGGAATGTTGAAGGTGCATGCAATATCGCTGACTTTAATGCAGCGCCCCCAGTTTTTACGCCCATTTCTCGTATGAGTTGACTGCACGGTTAAAAATTTCCGTGGTTTTTATTACATTAGGTTATTTCTTTCGGTTAGGTCAACCAAGACGATTTGGTTGTTCAACCAAATTTTTGGTGAAATCTAACTGAAAGGTTGGTTATATCAACCGAGCCCTCAAGTTACTTCGTCGGGACCTTTCAGGATCAAAGAAGTGTCTTGCTTATGTTGTGTTGCTTGTGTTGTCGTTTATGTTGTGCGTGTTGTTAGGGTGTGTGTGTTGTTATGTTGTGTGTGTTGTTATGTTGAGTTGGACTTATGTTTCCCTTTTTTTTCAAACGGTTGCGAGCGCATGGCTATCGCATTTTGATGGTCCGCTATATACAACATCGGAGTCGCGATCCTAGTCAATCGTGAACAGTTTTTTGTGCAGAAATGGAGGATTTTCACCTAGAAATTTGGACACTCTAACCGAGAAAACATGTAACTAAAAGAAACCAGCCGTTAATTTATTTTACATAATGTTCTACTTCCCGTGTAAACTTAAAATTTTAGTTCCGGTTTTATTGTGTGGCTGCGATTCCACTTGCCTATTGCTCGGATTTGTGATTATCAGTAATCGACCGTTCGGCATATATGACAAACTTAGTTCCTCGGTTCATTTTACCGCACAAGTTCGGTTACGCAAACCTAAAGTTTGGTTTGACAAACCAAAAATTCAGTTTGACGAACCGAATTTGTTGGGATGATATGGAACACCAAACGTTGGTCATACAACCAAACTTTTCTTTTCGGTGCACATCAAAACAAAAACAACCTACATAAACCTCTCTTGACTTGAGACAAGTTTAAGGTGAGACTTTAGATACAGCCTTCTGATTTTTCAACGACTCACTTTTCAGTGTCAATAAATCACGCGTTGCGTTGCCTTTTAAGGGCTCCATCCAGAGCGAGCCTGTCGGGTCGGGCAACAGTGGGAACACCTACCCGAGCTGACATTGAACTATTTGTTTTGTGAGATGATTATTGCACTTCAAACTTGTTGAGCCGCTCGAGTTGCCACCCGTTAGTTACGAAGCATTTCTTGCACGCTCGCTCGCGAGGGGGCGTCAGAGACAATCGCGACTTGCAATCTCACCATCCCGCTGTAACTGCCATAGCCAGGCGGCTACTGTCTCAATTTCCCAGTTATCCAAGAAATTCAGTTAGGCTGGATTAGAGTCCCTTTATAGAGAGAGTTGAGACAACACAGCTCATGGATGTCACAAACGGGAACAAAGATTACACAAATCGGACGTTTTTTGTAATCTTTGATCATTTGATCAACCCATTCCCGAATTCTTGTCTCCGTTCCCTTTCTCATTCCAGTTGTTCCTTGTCGTACCCCCAACGCCCCGGTCCAATCCAATTGGAAATCCAACCAGTCCATATACAAAAATAAAATAATTCTAGAGGTATTTCTTCCTCAATTTTCAACTTTAAAAAAGTGCAGAAATTGTATGCTAAAACTGCTTAAAATTCAATCTACGAGGGACTATTTGTTTAACATTTTCCGAAGAAGGCCCTTTGTACCCCCCTATCTGGGGGAGGGGGGGGGGGCACTCCCCTCAGAATCACTCTGAATTTGCCACTGTCGTTAGTAGGCAGAATTGTGAACTATGGGAAATAATTGAACAATTTACTTTCAAAAGGTCCAAGTGACAATTACTTTGAGCTTCGATATTCCTCACCTATCAAAACTTTCAGAGATAATGATATTTCAGCATTTCATTCCCTTCAGAATTGAACGATCTAATTGTTCTCGGCCTTCTAGATCATCGCTGCCAATTCAATTTTTTTTTCCTAATGCAGCATGTAAAACGTGTAATATGAAGACAGATTTGACAACTTGTCATCAGCACTGTCTTAAACAATCGTCCTAGCACCTGAACAATCTCCCAATTCGGGCGATCGGTAAGCCTTTGGGCCTTGAGTCGAAGAAATGCCGCGATGTCTGAAATACCATTATTCATCTGGCACTTAATACCCTAGCGAATGTTACTAGCTCGCCACTGTCCATATTGCCCCGGACAACAAGTTCCTTGGACAGCGTAAGAGGTTAAGTCAGTCACTCGTTCCATTGTTTTACCGGCATTGTTGCAAATTTTAAAGGTATCATTACCGTCTAGCCATAGCAGAACTTTCATGCCACCAGAATTAAATGTCACCCATGATTGTTCAAAACCGGCCATGAGTTACTGCAATAAACTTGAGAGTTGGGAACTCTATTGTTTCAACTGTTATATTAAAGCCACGCATGTGTGAATATGAGACCTTTCACCGGAAAATGGACCTTCCTCAACAAAAGGCAAAAGTTTCAGTGAAATGATTTTGGCCGAACTGGCTCCAAAAATGTTTAATACTAGGGGTCTGTAGCCGCTACGCGGCCGCCAACCACTGAAAAAAATCTACACGTAAAAAAGTCGTGAAACAACCACGTTCAAGTTTTTTAAGAGATGAATAGATTCAAAACTCGACGGGTGCATCCGATTGAAAGTGTATATTTATCTCTGATTGCAACGCCATGCACCACTTTTATATTTTATCGTTGATAAATGTTCTTTACAGGCTACAGCACAGTTTTTCTGAAAAATTTCCGCGAATTTACATAAATGATCTCAAATAAAAGTATCAAAAATTTTGACGCAATATTTCCATTCTAACTTTTTTCTTTTAATGTAACCAAAAAAAAATCAAACATCATCCAAGTTTCTGAATCGTTAGAATGAGGATAATGATGGTAAAAACTGGAGCAGAAAGTCAAGAAGATGACACACAGTCATACAGCACGCTTACAGTCTTGTATGCGCTAATACACGCCAACTGACCGACTGCACTGCGTTTGGCGCAATGCGAGAAGTATTCATGCAGTCTTGTAGGCGCTAATATAGGCCCTACGTCGATCGCACTGTTTGGCGCAATACGTGAGGTATTCCTAAAGTCTTGCAGGCGCTATTACACGTTTAACACCGGCCGCACTGTGTTCGGCGCGATTATTCGAACTCGCGTTAAAATAATCGCGACATCGAATAATAGAGCTTAAAATTGAGATATCTCCAAAAACTTACTCTAATGTCCTAAAGAACAAGTTGCGAGCGGGTTAGTTCATTCTTCTGCCAATTGATTGTGTATAATTGTATTGAGATCTTGCAAATTTTGAAACTTCAAACATTTGTGGTGGAAAATACGTTGTCTAGGGCAACTAAGCCACCAAATATGCCTTGCAAATAGATTGAAATGTAATAACACCCTCTTTATTACATGAAGATTCTAGATATAGAAAAGTACTGGATAAGAACCCTAAATTTGCCAGTCACGCTGGTCAAAGAATAGTTATTTGATGCTGGATTCTTGCAGATTAGTTAAACATAATAAAATTGGTCCGAACAGCAACTTTCTACTTCCAATATTAATTGAGATATCGCAGTTTAAAAATTCGGTTTGTGACATCATCCACCTCGGCTATGCATACCGAGATCTCTTCCACCTAGGATTCATTAACCGGTGATACACACATTTGCACTTGAAACTCAAATGAAAGCAAGGTGGAAGAAACCAAGGGTGTCACTGCCGCGATGGATGACTTCATAAACCGAATATTTCTAAGCGCGATTTCTCGGTTGATATTAAACGCAGAGAGGTGCTGTTTGGACAAATCTTATTATTTTTAGCTTATTTGCAAGAGTCAAGCATCACAATTTTGTGACCAACACAACTGACCCATTGTAATGAACATTCTTTTCGATCTAATAACGGCTATTTTTTCCTTCAGCGTTCAAACGTGGTTGATTTTTGGTTGAAAATATTTCACCGGAAAAAAAACTCCGGCCGTGGAAGCCGTGTTTACGGGCTATATAGACATATCGTCCACACTCTGGGCTCAGAGGCCGAAAGTTCCGATCGTAGTACCCGGAACAATCGAAGCTACGGCTCCACGACCCGGAACTTTCTGCCCCTGAGCCCGGAACGGACGGTATGTCTAAATAGCCCGCAACTTTTTTTTCCCGTGTTTTTTTCGGCAATTGCGGCAACAATCAAATTTTAAGCACGGCAAAGCACAGGTGTCAGTTAAAGGAGTACAACGCTGACGTGATAAGGAAGAACGCAGTATGAACATTCGAGAGTTGCCAAATTTCCTTAGAAAAAACGTGTATTTTTGACAAAATTTACGCATATTTTTCCTCGAAATTTTCAGATATTTTAGATTTAATTGCGCACAAGATGGTCTGAAATTTTCGGGGAAAAATATTTACAATTTTCTCAGTAAAGTCGGGTTTAATCGAAGGAAATTCGGCAACGCCTGAGGGTTCATACGGCGTTTTTCCTTAGCACGGCAGAGCGCGACCTCGGCTCAGCAACATCAACACTCTTTGATTTAGCGGCCCGCTCTTCGTACCACCGCGCCGCGAGCCGTCTCATTGTCAGTAAACGCCTACAACTCAGGACCAATA